ATATTTCAAGGAAAATATAAAAAAATTGTTATTGGTATGCATGATTCAGTTAACAATGTAAACGACATTCGTAGGAAAGTAAAGAATGTGTAAATCGTGAAAAACGGACGAATGTAAATCGTGTCTAAAAACACGTTTCTTCCCTTCCTTTTCTTCTTTCACCAAATATTTAACACAGCCAAAGGCGTTTCCATGCTCGCAGTTTCTCTCCAAGCATTTTCAAGAAATTTTCCGACATCCAAACGGCATTATCATGATAAAAGTAGTCCAGGAACCTATTCGCATTTGAAAGCGACCAACATTCATGGGCCATTGTCGCGCAACCCTCGATACTCCATAAAAGAATACAAATTCGAGAAAGCAGGCTAACATGTCACTCGCAGCTAACCGCCTGCTGTGCAAACATGCAAACTCTTGTTAAAATCCCACTACGTAGCAACTGAGTTTCTTTTTCCGTTATCTTACACGAAACGCTTGACGTTAAGAAAAACGTTGATAAACCTGACCTCGACCTACTCGCGTCCTCTAAAAAATCGTAACGTTTCTTAACTAATATTCGATGAATCAGAAATAAATGTATGACTGATCGATCTTTCATTAACGCGATATTTGTTATTGATTTATTAAAACTGACTGATTTATTAAGGTCCGATATATCGATTAGAATCTTATATTTTTTTGTATATGCGATCATAATAGCTCAATCTTGTAACACTGCTGTGTTAAAGACGAAAGATTGTACCTGCAACTTTCGCTTGAATCAAGCCATTGCTGCCAGGTAGAACAAAAATAGTTTATCTATATGTATATTAAGTAAGAAAGCTGTATCTGCATTGAAACTGAAGATATAACAGCTTATATGTGAAATCAAGATCTTGTTAAATACTAAAAGTTATTATTCTCAAATTGTATAACCAAATACGTTTATTTTGAAATAAAACGACAGAACAATGCTAATGAAATTTCAAAATACGTTTCGTATAATACACATAGTATATTCGTAAAAGGTGTCTACAAGTGTTCAAATACTTTGGCGAGCAACTGTACGCGCGATTTCCAAGGAGGAAAGGACGTCGGTCGCGAACGAGATTTTCGATGGTATCGATTAACGCGACAGAAGAGTGCCGGGCAACGGTTTGTTCGTTCCCTTTGCCAGGATCGGCACCGGTGGAACCCCGTGGCTCCTTTTTCGAGGATCCTCCGCGTGTCCTCGCGAGGTAGAACCTTTGTCCAGTCTCGCTCCCACTAGCGAGATAATTCGACTGCCATTTTTCTCGCTTTATGCGGGTAAGCGTTACTAATGGCCCGTTCCCTGCCGATCGCGAGGACCCTGCACCTTATTTTGCTCGTTCTTGAACGCGTAAACGCGTTTACGCACTCTTACACTACGCCTCAAAAGTATCCAGCCGCTTGCTTTCACAAGATGTATCTAGTTTAATTAGTCAAAATACACACGCATTTTTCGTATCTGATTCGAGAAGCGAAAGATTTTACCGATAGAAAAGTAGTTACTTCGCAAACCCTGTTTTTTTTTAATCATTTGTAATTAATCTGTCACCAGATCAGGGTTTTTCATGGAAATTTATATTCTTCGTATAATTTTTGCGCGTTTAAATTTCTAATAAATGTATAAACATTCACGGTATATTTAACTATAGGAAGAATTAATTTGTACATGTATTTTGATAGAATTTAAAGAATCGAAATACTTATGAACGATAGTGTACCTACTTACAGCTGGTGCACGAGCGCGTTTTGCGAACCTGTGCACACGCGCCTACGATGATCTTAACAAATAGGGCATATCGTGCTGCATCGGGAACGTATGACGCGCATTTGTCTCGAAAATGTTAGGTCGGCTGTGGAGGCGCGAGTAACGCCGCGATAAATGGGGAGAATTCAGGTTCTGTTGGTTCCTTTATAGGTAAAGGATTCTTTGTGAGTGGAACTCAACCCTTCCGGTGCGTACGTCTGATGTTCGAGGGTGGTTGAATGAAGTTGGTTGAGTGAAAAACGAAGGGAAGGGGTAGAAATAGGTAGATAATATTTTATTCCAATAGTTCTGAATCCAATAGCTATGAATATTTCCTGCTCGTAACAAAATTTATCAATGTCGAATTTCGACGTTAGATATTAAAACGACATCGTCCCGTAGAAACCAAAATAGAAACCTAAATAGAATTAATTTGGAATAAAGCTAGAAAAATCCTTTATACGAAATTAAAATTTTACCCTAAATCGAATAAATTATAAGTTACGACTAATTTTAAAGTAAAGTTTATGAACTGTTTTTTTCCGCTTTGAACAATTCCTCGAGTCGCTTTTGAGATACTTTTCCACGACGGTTTCTCTTGCATATCTATTGTTTAACATCGTCGTCAAATCGGCCCACGGATTCCAATTTGAATATGCAACACGGAATACATCTGCATGCAGTTTCGCAGCAGGTGTTCCTTCCTTTTTTTCTGCTCCAAATCCTACCTACTTCACACTCGAGGAAATTTCTATCATTTCGGAATGCAAGGGTTTTGTCGTTTGCTGTGAAGTCAAGAAACGGCGCAGGCTTTTCCTCTCAGGTAAAAACTCATATTACGGTGAAACTCGAAACCAAATGGGTCTTCCACCATATATATATATAATCCTTGAATACTTTCAATACGATGACATGGAGAAAATTTATTATACAAAGTTTTGTCTAAAGATTTTACATACATAACAATCTTTTTTCAGAGTCACGATAAATATTTATTTCTGATATTAAATTTACGTAAAAAGTCACAGCTCCATTTACCATTTATCCACTCCATTTACGCACTTGCATAGTCATTGCAATTTGAACGCGTTTGCAAAGAAACTCGTAAACCGATATCGATTTAAGTAACGTAGATAACGCTAAACGTTTTTTTATTGAATGTTAAACTTTCCTTTATTGAACGTTAAAAGTATTTGTTTCTTTCCTTCAAAATATATAATACGTACTTACCTACCTAATCGATATCTTTCCGCTTAGCTTAAACATCGATGCTTGCATGTGACGATCACGTGATCCCACAGTTAATAAAACAGCATTCTTTAAAAAGTTATCGATCATTCATTCGCCAAGTTTTCGTTCGATTTCGATAAGAATCAATATTTGCGATTGACGATATACACTAAATGTCACGTATCGGAAATAAGGACGCAGTTTGTAAATCGATACCTTGATACCATGTAAATCACGTAAGGAATGAAAAACAATGACTTCCTGTTCGTGGAATTGCCAAGTTATATGAAATTTTGTAAATGTAATTTTTATTTGATTTTGAAGGTAAACACGTAGGTGCTTATTACTCCCTTTCATAACTTTAAAACTATCTTTGCAATGTTAAAATATTGAGAATGTTAAAATGTTACTTGTCTTAATAACTGTAATCTCTGATTTTCGCAAAACTTCGGCAACTTGTAAGTAGATCGCGGATTTAGAATTTAGAGCGAGACATATTTAAGATAATTCGAAAGCACGTGTCTCTCTAGACGATAATTCCAAATATTCATAATTACAGATATCAAGATTTGGTGATCGGATTTCGAAATTGAACGCGCAATTCCAAGTCTGTTTAACAGTAGCTGCTTGTTCCTGCTATGTAAATGTTTTTTTAATAAATTGTTCGATAGTAGCGATATTACTTTGGTACATTTGTTCTCTATATTTTCGTCCCCAAAAGCAAGGTCGAAAAGCAAGACCGAGTTGACCGTTTAGTCACGGTTCACCCTTAGACGTACACTATCCCTTTTCAACATTTATTTATACGTGTCTACTTGCGTGGATATATATTTTATATTTCTTCTCTTCCTTTTTATTTTCGATGAGTTTGGGTTCTCGAGGAGGTTCGAGCACCTGTTTGTATTTCTGCCCGCCGACACATAAATCATCCTGGAATGGACTAACGCCTTTTATCACTGCTATCCCTCTCCAACTCCTGTCTTTCTCTATCCGAACCATATTCTTCTCTGTATAGGTGTGTAAATAAGTGTATAAGTGTGTTCGGCTCTAGTCGAGCGACCCGTTTACGCCCACGTCTAAGATGAATATGAATTTTTCATTTTCATAGACCCAGAAAAACTGTCAAACGAGTTTTTTGGTCCTACCCCTCGCATTTTTTTTATTTTTATTGCCATGGCGCGCGTGTGCACGCATCCGTGAAATCCAATGTTTCTTGAATTATGCGTAGATACAGGGAGAGGGAAGATAGAGAATGAGAGACAGTATCTTTGCATTAGAAGAAGACGGTTTAAAAACGACATTTTTGGTTAACGAGACATTGATGATGTTTACTTTAAGTTGATTGATTCGAAGGAGAATGAACGAATGGTTTTGGGACAAATGGAATGATTCGAGTGAATTGTTGTATTATTTTATGGAAGAATGTTAAGCGAAGTAGAAAAACGAATGAAAGTAATTGACAAGTGTTGGCCAGTGTTTAATTTTTGGTGAAAGCTAATTTTGCAACGAGACACCTTAATTTCGTAGTATAAGAAGTAAAATTACAATATCGTTTTATGAATAGAATTAGCAAACTGCAATGTTTACGAAACGTCGAACAAAGTGTAACGCACTATTAAAAACGCGATCGAAATCCTATGCTTCACAAGTGTATCATATATGCATAAAAGTTTCTTGCAAGAAAGCGCAGAAACTCAAAGGAAGAAGCCGGTGACAAAAGGAACGTGGAAAGAAATAGAAAGTGAGAGACGCGATCAGCAAAAACCAAAAAAGAGAATCAACTCTACTATGAGGAACACGTTGCCCGCAGAAATTCCATTCGATTGTGATTCGCGACTTCCCCCACTACTCCGCAAGGAATTTACGATACCAAAAGCCTCAGTGGTGGGTTTTCGCGCATGGAACATGGGCGTGGTCGATTGGGCGGAGCCTGGTTGTCGTTCCAGGGGTCTTCGTCCCGAAAAGCATCGTTCCTGTGCCGCGAACAACCCCGAGTCGAGTCACGCAACTCCGTTCCCCACCACTCAGCCTTCGACGTTCTAACACACGCGTATACGTGTACATACACGGACGTGCACGGAGTGGAAACAGTGCAAAGAAGCGTGGATACACAGCGTGAATGTGTGAGTGATAGACCGAAGCGGCGATTGCAGAGTGTGGAAGGGGCAGGATCGAGGATGCCAGTCTTCCCCGGGCCACGGATCTGGACGGCGTATTTTCTGCGATCCTTTTCGATCCTACAGATCCGCGATTTTTTATTCCTCGCGAGTCGCCTGGTTTGGCTTTCTTTGGTTTGATACTGAAACTTACTCGTTTGGAACGAGTTATCGGATCGTAGCGCGAGTTTTACTTTCAAAGTGTTGTGAAGGGACTTTGTGGACTACACACATACATAGGTTGACTACTGACATGTTTTTGTCAGTTTAGCACGTGTATTTGGTATATCAGCAGACTCTTTTTTTGGTTACTCGATGATTATGAAAATGAAGAGAGGAAGTTTGTGAGTTAAAAGGAAGTTCTGGACCAATTTCAGGAAAGATGAAGGTGAGTGGATTGAGATTTAACTCTGAAATGCTATCGTCGGATAGTAGGTGTCTCGCAATAGTTTAGACAACTTTGTTATCTAACGTTGTTAAGATTTATTTATTTCAGCCTTTTTAAATTTTGTGGTAACGAAAATTAGTTAAGAATACACGCATGCATTTAAATAATGTATGTATCACGATTTGAAGTAACACATATGTATACATGCTTACATACCTAGCTTCCTTTTGTTTGTCGATTATGAAAGATTAAATAAGATAGTGAAAAATTTTGTTCGATTCATTGACAGTAGGTAGATAAAGAAGATAAACGTAAGTCGAATATGTGAAATATATATAAGGTGTATAAACAGGTGTGAATCATTTGTTTAAGCGAAGCGATGCGCGGGTTTCGAAAGTTTTTCGATGTTTTATCGTTGTTTTATCGTTATGTTTTATCAAAAAGCTTTCTTTAAAAATGATAGGTTATAACCAATCATAGTACCTAATGAAATACAATGTGAACATTGTTCAATATATTTTTGTTTACATTGTCAAAAGACATTAGAAACCTCTTTATCAATAAAAAGTTCTTGTTAAACACCTATATACCGAGTAGTAAAATTAAATATATAACTCTGTTACATTATAACGTTGGAAGTAAATTTTCAAATTGTCTTTAAGTTACATCGAATCAGTAAAATCTGAAAAGAATAGCTTTTTGCAATTATTAGAAATATCTTACGTCTCGTTATAAAATTCATTATTTTAATTCATCGAAACATTGCACTTCTATCCTTTGAATATAATTTTCATATAAAAAATCCAATTTAATATTCCGATGTAAAATTCACCTCGTTATAATTAAAACATATCCTACCAATTCATCAAAATTAATGATTCATTGAAACGTTTTATCTCAGTTCTTTAAATACTTTAAACTCCGTCATTGTTGTTGCACAACAATTACGATCCTGCACGTCAAACTCATAAACGTCACACCGAACGCACACAATGTCCTGGCAGCAAGTTTTTCTTAAAAACTGTTTCTGGAACGAAACGACGCGACGGCCATGATAATTTTGAAATATCGCGAAAAATTATTTACGATCGCCGGCGAAACTTATAAGGCCGATAAATCACTGGGAATGGTATACTCGCTCGTGCCATTAAACGTCCGTCCCGTGTAGCAAAGTGACGAATCGGATGTGTACGAGGATCGTCGATGTCCGGTAGTCGGTAGTGAGGCCCGTTTGACCTCTTCACCCTGACATTTCTCATTTTGTCAGCTCATCTCCGTCGTTTCGAAGTGTTGACGAATAAAAAATGAATACTATTATTCTTCTTAACTACTCGCTGATTGCATTCTTCGAGCATCGAGTCCACTTACGAACGATTGAGAAATTCTTTCTTCGTTTCTTTCAACGAAAATTCGATTCTTCTCTCGCGATAATTGAGTTAGAAAGATACTTGCGAATTTTCGAATCACGATCGTGTAAAATATTTACATTTAAAGAACGATTTATAGGAATTAACCGATTTCGTTATGAGGATCTTCGATCGAAATTGATACGGTTTTTTTTTTTTTGAATATCTTATTATACGTACTATATCTTTTTGAATCTATACATAACTACATTATTAGTAAATACACGTACGCGTACCGATAATTTGCAACGTTGAAATATTATCTACTATCTCAAGTTTCTCATTTGCACCTATCAAGCCTCGATCGCGCTTAATCATAAATTCCTATTATCATGTAATAAATGCAGCTCGATGATTTCGTTGTATAATAACGCTATCGAACGTCATATTATGAAATTGCAGTTCATTAATTCTATTGTTTAGAAACGAAACATTTTCACGCTTCGTCTATCAAATTAAATATCAATTCTCGAAAGTATTCGATATGCTAATAAAGATTACACAAATATCTATTCAATTTTCTTTCCCGTTGATTTTTCGTGAATGATCACTTGTCATCTCACACTGGCCCATTGTTTTAAACGCTATACACGCTATCGTCATAGCAACTTTCATTCTTGTTTGTGCTTCGATATATATAAGTACTTTGTTATTCCACTCTCATTAAATTGTCATTAAATTTTAATAAACGATTCTTTCACGGAAAAACCAGGTAATTTTAATTTTTTCTTTATTGCTGTCATTAAATGCTAAACATGTATGTATAAGTAACGCGTTTTTTTACAATATCCTTCAAATTGTAAAAAAAAAGTATGAACATTAGCTAACAACATGTTTAATCGCATGCGATCTGCGCATTGGAAAAATCAATGTGAAAATCAAAGAATAGGCAGGTTATATGTTTCGATGGCCGATTTACAATGACAACCCTAGTTTACAGGGATTCGCAGAAAAGCAACCGGTCGAAATTCAACAGGTAATTTACAACAGGTCAAACTTCGTCGTTTCTTCTCCAATATCTTGGGATCTTCCACGAAACTGAATTCGCTGAGTTCAGTGGCTTAAAAAATAATTTATAGAAAACGCAGGTATATTCACTTAGGTGTACAATCTCTGGCAGAAAGTTTCCGATCAGAAGAAATTTCTTAAAATCTTTCGTGTCTTCGAACTATAATTTTTATTATATGTTATTATATTTAATACATTTATTGTACGTTATTATATGTGATAAAAAGCAATGGGAAATTAACGGGCACTTAATGCGAGTCATGAGTTAAGTTAAAAATAATCGAGTTTCTTCAGCAAGGAAATAGCCAGAGAAATGTCACAAAAATCATAGGATGTAGCCCAAGCATCATTAGCGATTTCAGAAAAGAAATGTGACGAAACGGAAAATGTATCTGAGAGCGAAAGATGAGTGGTCCTCGTGCAGCAACTAGTCGAAACGATAGAAAATTGCGTAAAATTGTGAAAAATTTTAGACGAGCAACTTTGAGAGAGATAAATCGGCACAGAACGTTTCCGACCGTATTGTCAAAAATCGTTTAAATGAGATGAGTTTTTCATTTCAAAAAGCTAAGACATGTAGCGGCACATGAGTCAGAGGACATTCCAAATCATGTTGTTTTGCCTCGGAGTATCAAGACCGTCAGATTACAAGTAATGTAAGAACAAATGAACTCTGGGCAAAACAATGTCGCCGCTACATGCAACCGTCGAATGAAGACGATTATTATATGAGTATAAATAAACAGACTCGATCGCGTGCGACACAGTATCGAACGGTTCATATCGAGTATCAACGAGTATTAACGAGCATCTCCAAGTATCTACGCGACGAACAATAACGAGTATTTATTCCGAGTTTTATATTGTATCAACGACTCGCTGTACGCATATTTATTTATTTCGAATATACTTGACGTATTGCGACAGCAATATTTCGCCCTCATTATTTCGCGATACCGATTCACGACAAATCCTCCACAGACAAAACAACTCATAACAAAAAGCATAAAAGAGAACGCGTACAATGATGTAAGAAACATCCAAACTGGACAGTGGAGGATTGGAAGATAGTAGTAAAGTAACAGCAAAGTAATAAAAGACTGTTTACGCGGTAACAGCATCGAAACAATGAAATGGCCAGCGAACAGTCCAGATCTAAATCCGAATATTGAAAAGACTGATTCGCGAGAAAAGGCCTTAGAATAGAGAAGAACCTCGTCAGGCTATCTGACTATCGTGGGAAGAAATTCCCCGCACAGATTGTAAATATCTCGTTAATTCAATGCCACAATGCGTCAAAGTAATAATACATTCACATGGAAACGTACCAAAATAATAATACCTACGAATATTTAAATTAACAAATCGGATCGGCAACTTTTTCCCGTGTAATATTTTGTTCTTCATCTCGCTTCTTTTTCCTAATAAATGGAAGTTTGTGTTAGTTTATTATCATTTAAGTATTTCACGTTAAACTTCTTTTCAATTTCCCATTATTTGGGTATTTGTATTAGGTCGTTCGAAAAGTTTCTTTCGTTTTATAAGGAAATGGTGGATGCATACCATTTTCCGTTTTATATTATTTTATCGAATTACGTATGATCCATTTTGTTCTATCAAAATAAAGATCACAACGTTCAACAGATCAGGTTTCATGTTTGTATAAAGATGCATCGTTGTAAAAAACGTGTTTGTAAAAGAAAGACTCTTTTCGTGCGACCTAATACGACAGCATTTTGTAGTTCTGACACACGGATGTTTTTAACAAATTTCGTATTAATACGTCCGATGCAAAAACTTTTTGCCAGTATTTCTTGATATCTTCCTTCTTGCATTTCTTATAAATCAGCAACGATTCGTTTATGCTTTCTATAAATTTAAAAAGCTCTTCAACTGTAAAATTAAGGGTTCGATTAAAAGATTGGAAATATTGTTATCTAGCCACGTGATCTTTCATCGAAGCAATCGCGTTATTATCATTTCTTAGGCTGAACATCTTCATACAACTGTATTTCTTCGAATGTTCTACCAAAGTAAATTGCTCAAAGGCGTTTAAAATCTCCACGAAGCAAGAACAATCGAAAATATCACTAAATTTAGGAGCAAAATCTGCTAGATTTGAATTGAAGATTATATTTTCTATTTAATCACGCGATCTTCCGGTTATTTCATCGAGATAATTGCGCCAGTAAATCCGTGATCCGCGACACGGCGTATTAATCGACACGGTGTTACGTTCGAAGAGAAACGTAGCTCTCTTTCCGAGGGAAGATCGAAATGCCAGAAGGTATAAATCACAGGTGGGAAGTTCAACTTTGCCTTCGGCAGATCATAAATCAATGACCGTCCAGTTAAACGTGAAATGATTACTGGCCGACGGGAGAAGCTACGACAAGGAGGGAAAGGACAGAGAGAGGAAGATGAAATGAAAAAGACGTGTTCGTGTAGCGTCTTCGAAATTGGCTGTCGTCGATGTTGTCTTTCTTGAGGTATCCGTTGTGCAATATCCCTGTTCTTTATATGTTTCGCGTTTTCACGGCGATTCACGTTATATTTTCGTTCGTTTGTGTGTTTAGTTCGCGCGTTTAAACCGGCGAATTCAATTTGAAGCCGACGAATAGGAATTGTTTACGACGGAGGGTGAATTCTTTTGAAATATTTTTCTTTCACATCGCTTATTTTTCGATCGAGGAAACGCACTTTTAACGTTCTCGAAAAATCTTCGCTCGTTCTAATTCTGCCGCGTTCTTTCCGTCGTTATCGTGTTTTTCTGACGTTAAAAAGTATTTCAAGTTTAAGCAAAATCTGAAAGAACTATTCTTGGTATATATGTACATGAGTTTTCGTACCAATCTTTTGTCCAGTATATTCGCGAAATAAATAAATGTGAGATTGAAGTATAAAAATGATAAAAATTTAAGGATCACAGCAGGGTGAAATAAACGTTTAATAAATTGAAATTTTTAATTTCCCGAAGGTTGATAGAACAGTTTTTCCATATTAATGTACGAATAAAGCAGTAAAGAGAAGAAGTACGTGGTAAATGCAATAAATCGAAGAATATAATGTAATTAACTCATTGATTGCACGCTGTGGGGAACAATAACCTTTGTGCATTACTCGTGTACCAATTAATATAATCAAGTCAAGACTCGCTGTTCCAACGTACTCACTTATACATAATACACGCACGTGTGAATACACAGGTGGATTCATGAGCACGTGTGCCGCGACATCGATAAGAAAAAAATTGCATACAGATCAGATACGCGTTATCTTTGCGTTTATCTCTCTACGCACTCACAATGACAACCTTTCCCTCTCTCTCTCTCTCTCTCTCTCTTCGTTGTACCTACTTATTTGTCTCTTTGTGTTAACCAAACCTCTAACAACACGATGGGACTGAAAAGAAAAAAAAGAGGAAAAAAACTAACCAGCTGCATCGTGTCGTTCGAGTGTCAATTAATCGAGCTCGAAACTCTACCACGGGTTTGTTTCAAGCGGTTCTTGACTAATGAACGACGACTTGTTAATGAATGAATGCATTTTAATCGATCACTACCATTTGCTATTAAAGATCGAATAGAACGATAATTTAATGTAACTTTTTCATATTTCCCTAGATTCCTCGTTTCAACTATAAAATATAATTAACTTCCGAGAGATTATAAAAATTATACGCACTTTATGTTGGCACATCCCATCCTGAAGAATCAACTGGAAGTTAAAAGAAAAAGAAAAAAAAGACAACTTGAAAATTAGTAAAATCTCCTGCGTTACGCATTCAATTAAAAGGAAGCTGCGCAGCTACGATCTTTAGGGGCGTGCGTATCGCTTAAATCTCACCATCTACAATGAACAAATTTGCGCCTACCTAAAGGTCGTTTCGCGTGTACGCACGTTTGATACACGATGTGTGCGTAGTCATGCGAATCGTTGAGGCCGGTCGTTGAGGAACGAAGGGATCATGCCCAAGAGCGGCATCATTTATCAGCCGGCGGCCGTCCGCTCGTTTATTATTTCACTTTGCCGAGTATTAATTGAGATTTGGAGCCCGCAGCCAGCCTTTCCGTACCTCCACACCCGGAAACGATCGTCTTATACTATGTGTTTAGCGATGGCCTCAAGTACGTCGCAAGTAGATTCGAATATTCAACGATTATTCAGTTTCCTAGGTTGAATGTCTCAACAAGAATGGTACATTTGGCAAGCGAGCGATTCTACGTAAAAGAACAAATCGAAAATATGGAATAAAATTTCTTCATACGACGCATCATTCTGGAGACAATCGGCTTTGAGAATAGAGTTACAAATGTAATTAAAATATAGGTTGAAACGAAGATGAAATATTTGGCAAGTACGACGAATGAAATATTATATCCATCTATCAAAACACGAAGAGAACATCCAGTATTCGATTCGGTTTGGCGCTTAATCCCATCGCTAATGATGTTTTTTTCTCGTACGACACGGTGACGCTTTATGAATCGATCGATCGTGCTGGTTTCGCTAGCTGACAAATTCTAACGCGAGACTCTCTTCTAATAACGTTAATACCGTGGCTCGTGTTCTTTTCCATCGACTCCGGTATTCCATGTAAAATGTTCGTTTTAATGCCTTGGCATTAAATTCACGATGACATTAGGTAGAGACTTGTAGCATCTGCTTGAAAGGTTTATCGAAGGAAGGTTGTATGCGATGGGTTTTCTTTTTGTACAGGATGCTTTAGAGTTGCTGTTCAGAGCTTTAAAGGGTGTAAACTAGTACAATGTAAAGACAGATTGTAAAGTATTTGTAAAAGTCAATAAATTACCTATCATGTAAATTACACTAATAATTTCTCTCGAATTAATTTCACAACAATCTCGTTCGGTAATCCCAGGCTGAAATCTTCCTAATTGTTCTTAAAATTATCGTCGACAATGAAATCTTCGATCATCTAAATAACTATAAAAAACTATATAACTAAATAAGTATAACTAATAAAGTAAAACGAATAAAATTGCAGACGGAAATCGAGACGGAGCCAGATTGCACGGACAGCATCCTTTGTTCGAACAACAACAACAACAACAACGTGAACACCAATAACAACAACGTAACCAGCATAAAGAAAGCTGTTACTAATATCAACAACAACGACAGTCACGATGGAATGGAAATGGACTGTGGCGGTTGCGGGGAAAGCGTTCGCGAGCGGACTGTCCTCTGCGTAGGGGGTCGTACCTGGCATTCCAGATGTCTGAAATGTTGCGCCTGTGCGAGGCCTCTGCACGATCAGCACTCCTGTTTTCTTCGAGGGATGAGGCTCTACTGCAGGCACGACTACGCCTTGTAAGTACAACTTGTTTCTATTTCTAAGGTCAGTGGAGCTCGTTGTCCAAGTTTAACCATCGTAATTTTTTGCGTCAGTGGGGAACATAGTTTGTTTGGTTAGGTTAGCTGATTTATGTGACTGAAGGTACACTACAAAAGGTATTTTCACATCGCTGTATTCATTATAACACTTACGTACTAATTGGTTAGGTCTAAGCATATTACAGTTCGTGTTATCGAAACTTGATGAAATCATTGAGAAATAAGGATACGTAGCTAGCCACTGTTTGTCATAATTACAATACGAAGACAAAGTAAACAATTTGTCCCTTAAACAAGCATAAAGGGATCGTAAGCCACTGGGATCATTTTAGCGAGTCACTCGTTCGTAATACAGAACGACCCTTCGAAATCTATCTCAAGGGACTTGTTCATAAAATCCTTTGAAAGTAGCTGCTCGACAGGGTGCCCGAGATATCTGTTATACGAATGTCAGCGTATTCCGCGAGAAGCGTTTCGTAAGTCGAACAAACGGTCATTCTTTTTCAGGTGTTCACGAGTGGTAGTCGAGAAACGTCCTCTTAAGCTTTGGCTTTGCTCACCGGTTACGTATCAGTGGGGTGTCTGTTCTTCGATCAGCTGGAATATTATTGGATTCATCGGTAATCCTTCGTGTCGCTTCTGGATCGCGGGCTAACTGTCCCTTCTGGTTGATTATAGATCGCGACCGAATGATGGAACGCTTTCGTTTGATGAATTGCTTTTTTGATTATGCAAATCTTACGCTCTTATGAGCACGATTAAAGAAACAGAACTTAAACACCTTAGTTATCTTTTATTAGAGAAATATTAAACCTACTAAAACTTATAATTAAAACTTATAATGAATAGGTACTGTAAGTGCCTTGTGCATTTTGTATATTTTTGCATTTTACGCGTTTTTCTACATCTACATTTCGCGTAAATGCGTAAAAAATCCGCAGTCTACTGATTAAATATCTTATCGCTATTTTTCTGCGATTAAGCGACTTAAGCCTTAGTCTTTGTAGTCCTCAATGATACCAGTTAAGAGTTAAACGTATCAATCGGAAAAGTGAAAAAAAGCACGATTACAATGATTTAGCTAAAAGCTGTCTGTCTTTGGAGTCACGTGGCCGTCACGTGGGTGCAGATATTCCCGCAGATGAACAGATATCCTTACGCGAGTATTCGACATAGGGTCGAGAGAGATTCACCATTGGGTGATTAATGTCTTCCGATGTAACCTTCTTCTTCTTGGTTCTTCTCCTCTTCTTCTTACTTCTCTTTTCTTTTACTTTCTTCTTCTTCTTCTTCGTCTTCTTCTTCTTCTTCTTTGGACCTCACGCGTACAGTCGGCTATTCACGTCATATACGTGTACCACGCATGCTCACGCGCGAGCTGCGAGTCACGATGTGACGTTGAAGCCGGGCTTCGATGCCCGCTACGAATAAAGGACATCTCATCTGACGTTTTCTTGCGGTTACAAGTCCCTGGAGACGAAAAGAAAAGACGCCGGTTTTGACCCGGGCCGTATACGAATATTCGCAATGGCGAATCTTTTCAATCGATGGATTTTTTTATACGATCTTCAAGCGAATCAAAAAATGTACGCGTGTATCTGGTGTGATTTAAATTCCTACAATGAGTTTTGTTTAACAATTGTATATTGACTAGATTTTTTAAATAGATGATTAGCGAGCATATCATAGTAGACGGTTAATAAACGCATTATATTTAACTTGTATTAGATTCCATATGAAAATAATATAAAACCTTCACAGATGAAAAGTATGTAAAAGAACTAAATGTAACAGTATAAAATATAGAAAATCAGTGCGGATTTTTATGTATTTACGGGAAATTTATAAGTACGAAGGTGTACAAAGTATAATACTCTTTATGATACATGGCAAGCAAAACAAGTCTCTGCTTCGTTTCCATCTGTTTAATCTTTATAGAAATGTAACTTTGTATAAAAATCCGTAAACTAACGATAAGATATGCAACGAGGATGAATTTAAATATAGAACAAGTATGTAGTATAATTATGTATTTCTATATAACTGAAAGTAAAAGATATTTCAAAGATAGCTACGTAAAAGAGAGCAGAACGTCCTCATCGTTGCAGATTGCTTGAAATTATCGTCTCCTCGGCATGTTTAGGAAATCGTCGAAATCGCAGTAGCAGAAATGTAGATTACCCCCGGGCTTGCAAGCGTCGTGTCTCGAATCGTTCTCAGGAGGGCGTAGGCATTCGCATTTAAGTGCCATTAAGGCAGAAACGATAAGGTCGTGATTAAAGCGGCGACCGATTCCCTGTCGCGCAGCATCGGCCACACTGAATTAAGAGAACCGGAATTTCGACGCTGGCATGGCTAATAGAGCGATTTCTGGTTCATCCTGCTCCTTCCATTCTTTCTCTTTCTTTCTTTTTTTTTCTTTTAATTTTGTTTATTCTTGCCTGAGAAACGACACGAGGAAAAGGATCGTGGAAGGAGAATAACGTCGGCGAATATTTATTAATTTAAAAGACACCCGTCCCCTGCTTGAAAAGCACCGACACACGAGGGTGGACCAAAGAGAGGGAATCACAGCTAGCTGCCTTACGAGGCGAATTCCTTAGACTTTAGATGGAACACTGGCAGTTCTTGCTGGTGACTCGGCAGCCACGCACACGCGTGCCTGTTTTTGTATTCTCCAGAGAAAAATATGGGCAACCCGTACAGAACTGTATACTTACGGCTCTAGGTCTATTACTTTTTTAATTTATAAAGCAATTTGTGCAATCAAAATCATATTTCAGATTTAGAACCTCCACGATCATTAGATAACATAATTCGTGGTTCTTCGAGTTTTGATATGACGAATAAAATTTAAATACAGGCACGATACAAACAAGATGAAGCTTCCAAACAATTCTCTCTGATCTCCTATAAGTCGCAATATAATACAATTAAAATACTAGATACGTAATTCAGTAATAACAAAATTATCTTAAATCTAAAGAATTCCAAATTTTCGTACTAAAATTTCTCCATTCATACTCTATAAACGTTACTATATGGCTTGTTCCTATTACCAAAAACGATAATTCAAGCGTAAAATATCGCCAACGTAATAATTTATCACAGAGCCGATTTATATCTTAAAAGATATCGAAGATCGCGATCGAGATCTGGCTTCGTAGCGCGAGAATCGAATGCAGTCGAATGAGGATCGGAGGTATAAGGGGGGACTATGAATTCTCTACTGTGCAGAGGTCGGATAGCGGCCGACTTAATCCCCCGTTGACTTATAGGGCCCGCCTATGTGGAAGAACAAATGAATAAATTAGGGCGGGGTCGTTTGGTAGCCGATGTACGGCCCTGAAGATTTATTGATACCCAATACCAGTTCCTCTGGTCTGGTTACACGCTGCTCCTGACCGTCTCTTATTTCGCTCTGATCCGACGTAAACGCGCCGGAAAAGGAAAGGGGTGGCGCCACTATTTATGCTAATGACACCTCAAACTTTCACCGGACCTTCAAGCTCAAAGAGATCGCGTCAAATGATTTATTTTAAACTATATGAATCTTCCTTCGTTTCTTCTTTTTATCGTGAATTTTATTCAGTAATTGTCAGTAATGTTAAAGTAATTACAAAAACAAATGTATATTTTATTTGCAAGAATCGACCAATAACGATAATAAAATGATCATGATAAGTAGGTACAGGTTATGAAGTTCTAGGCGAAGCTTTCAGAGGTTTAAAAAGATACTCAGGGTCAGGTATAGATGTCTCGTCAAGAATGAATAGATACTTGCGTGCTTCTAGGCGTGCCTTGTGCGCGATCACCATAACCAATAATACCCGAAAATACCATGGATGCGACGGTGACGATGCGATTCGTGAACCGACTAATCCTTCCGTGGCTTACCATATTTTTCCATACAATAACCAACCTTTCGGTCGATCCACAATTCTTCTTTTTCACTTATGCTACTTATATTTTTTCTCTTTCTTGTTACAACAAAGTTATTCTTCGTTGCGAACAACAAGTTACCTGTGGAGCTTAAAAGTTCTGTTTCCTTGTAGAATTATTTTCTATATAGCTATTGAGTATCATCAAGTTCGACTCGGTGAACTTAGACGAAGACAAGAAATCTAAGAGGAAAATTAACAAATTCCATAGATTCTATCAAATTCACTTCTCCATCACACACCTAAGTAATAAAAATCCGTGGTGTACCTATCATCGTGGCAGATCTCGTTAAAAGACGAGCGTATCGTTTCCTCGTAAGAGCCATCCACAAATCGCTTATATCTCTCCTTTTAAACGCAACACTCGTAAGATCGTGACCCGTTTCCTGGTGTTGGGCGGCTAAAATTCAAAGGGTTAGAGTCATTTGTAGGGCGAGGGAAGCCGCGGGACTGAGACGTCCAGATAATCTCGACGTAATCTACCGGGCGAATCGCGAGAGGTCGAGCGACCCTTAAACCACGTTGCTGACGCGTTCTAAAGGACATCGAGTGGCGGAGTAGTATGTTAATGAGGACAGGACCATCGGATTCTCGTACACGGAGGTCCTGAATGAACCTGCAGCTTCGACCAAAATAGCACCTTCATCCTCCTCCTCTTTCATTCTTGTCTTCTCCTCGTACAATTCTTCCTTTCTACGAAATTTAAATAAACTTTCTTGATCGTCGATCAAGCGTTAATCTAATACCGAAACAAACGTATCGCGACAATTTCGGTGCATGCTCGTGCGTAAACAGGAAAGATCTCGAAGAACAAACAAATCTTAAGTTAATAATAAACCTCAGCTCTTGGATTAACAGTAGAATTTTTTCTTTCTCAACATTTGGAAGAAGGTGGAAGAAGGTACAGGAATCTTGAATGTACGATAAAAATCCCTCTTTCTTGACATTTCAGAACCTTTGGTGCAAAATGTGCGAAGTGTGGTCGAAGCGTAGGTGCGGGTGACTGGGTGAGAAGAGCCAGGGAAAGGGTGTATCACTTGGCTTGTTTCGCCTGCGACGCCTGTTCTCGTCAGCTGTCGACGGGGGAGCAATTCGCCCTGCTGGATGCCCGATTGCTCTGCAAGGCTCACTATCTCGACGTTGTCGAAGGAAACAATACCTCATCCTCGGAAGATTGCGACTCGGAGCACGGTGGCAAAGGGAGCAAGACGAAGAGGGTCAGGACCACTTTCACGGAGGAGCAACTCTCTGTTTTGCAAGCGAACTTTCAGTTAGACAGCAATCCCGATGGCCAGGATCTTGAAAGAATAGCTCACGTTACGGGACTGAGCAAACGAGTGACGCAAGTCTGGTTTCAGAACTCGAGGGCCAGGCAGAAGAAACACAGTGGAAAGATCAAAACGCAAAGTAAGTACATTTGTTATTTGAAAATGTTGCAATTCCTAGTAAAATATAAAATAAAGTAAATAGAAAAATATAAACGATAAATTAAAACAGAAAATACAAAGTGTACGTGGATACCTCTGCGTATCGATAATGAATTACAGGAAGAAAATACGAAAATACGAGAGGGCAATTAGTATCGCCATGATTTATGCTTCCTTGTTTATTGAACTTAATCAAGTCTATAGAATTAATGTACGAGTTAATATGAAACGATATTACAGACATTTCGTAACTTGAACTTTAGATTCGTGCGTTAACGTACCAACTATCTAAACAGTTAGTACCATTATTTGGATCGAAAAAGACGAAATATAATATACACGTAGGATCTCTTTTACTAAAAATCTGAAACTTTTTCTTTCTCTTCTTATAACTATTCTATATTCTCATTCCTAAAGAATAATTCATTTCCTATCTAGTGCACCATTCACCACCAATGCAACATCATCCAGGTGATTTGTACCCAACCAGTGTAAACATGGTAGGTGCCTATTTAGGGGGGTATCAAGGCGGCAGCGCAGGAAGCGAAAGTCCTGGCAGTCCATTGACACCACTCACTCCTTTAACACCTCTAACCCCGACAACGCCCAATCACCTTCAAGCCCAGTTCTGTCATCAAACGGGTTAACTTTATTTAACGATGTCCAATACCGGTGATCATTGCTTCCGAATTTTACCTTCGTCGATCGTTTCCAAGTCTAATATTGTTTGCAATGGAAAATTTAGCATTCGAATTTAGAAGAACATCGATCTATTTAGAGAGGAAGAAATTATAAAATTCTAGGATTTCGAAGAGGGTACATTAATTCATTCGAAAGTTTTGATACATGTAATTCTATAGTTAGGTACTTAAGTGTAATATAAATTTAGCATAAATTTTTTCAGAGATTTATGAGAATTTGGAATATAGTAAAACCTCGATTATCATTAAGGAAATACTTGATTATTCGAACATCGATCGATTAAAAATTTGCATATGGTTTCCTCTAGGGAAAATTGTAAGATAAAAATATGGTCAAGGTTTTACTTAAAAAGATTATTTAAAACGAACCCTCTTTGAATTCTAGAACGCTTAAGGATAAGTTTTAAATAATTGAGATATTCTCTGTCTTTTTTTGTACATACCCAAGACGAATTGTTTCAAACAAAACAAGAAGTAAAAGTGATATTACGAATAGGTTAATATTCTATAGTGAGGATTCTAGTATACGAATAGAGAAAACACGCTATCATTATTTATTCTGATTCGATTGCAATAGTTCGTAACTTGTATTTGCATTTTACAATTAGTCTACTTAACTATTTTACTTGGCAAGAGTGCAATGAAACGGAAAGTAGAATTACAATTTTAATAGTGTTTGTAAAAAAGGTCTCGTTTTTCATAATTAATAATTATTTTATAAATTTGATTTGTCACGAGATAGATTTTTAAATTTTCAATTTGAAAAAAATCGGAATATTTCTATAACATTAATTTCATTCAAATTTCGCTAATATTATTATTCGTTCTTTTCAATTTAACTTCAACAGTTTGCAACAGTATCAAACCAATGATTACAAAACGAGTAACTTTTAATAACATTGACACGGCTCATTAGTATTATTTAAATTCTCGCTATACGCGTGTCCCATGAAGTATTTTATTTTTAATATAAGATTGTACATAGATGTATTCTGTAGCTTTTGTATATAAATTTCAAGGAAATCATGCATGAATATTTGATATCGCTCCCAATGTTGTACACACATTATCGCAATACTGTAAACCGTACTGTTAATAATAAAAATGTCTTTTACTGTTAACACGTGTTATTGCTTTCAAGCCTGAAGCCCTTGTGTTTCTATCATACGCTGTCTTATCTATATCAATACTGTGCCTTTTCTATTATATCCTCTCCCAACTTTATCAAATTAAAAAAAAAAAATCGCAACAGGAAAAAAAATAATGCTTACAAAAAAAGCTTAAAAACCCAAGACTCCCAAAATTGCTGAATTTGTTAAAAAGTCAAAAAATAAAGAAACGAAACAAAGTTAATAAAGTTCAAAGATACACACTCTTAGGATGGAGAATAAACACGGAAACAAAGAAATATGTGCAACATTTTATATTGTATATATACTTAGTTTACAATATTTACATCACAGTACATGTGTGTCGTGTGTATATTAAATAATGATCCTTTTACGGTTACACAATTAATTATCTAAACACTGTAAAAGATACTTTCATTCGGAACATTGCTTTCTGATGTACCCCGGAATACCAGAGACTCGAGTGAACAGGAAACGAGGCTTCGGTAAGTTGGCGGGGACACCGGACGACTCGAATTTCTCGTTTACGCTAATCGTATACTCGATCTTATAGGTACGTTTTATTAAAACGACAGCCTGATTACATCAGGTTATTCCGCGGATCAATCGAAGTGAGGACAACTATCGTCCTATTCTTTCAAAAAGAAGGAAAATTACATTTATCGCTTCTTTAGGGCCGTGAAGGGCATCCGTTACTTGTAATCGAAGTTCATAAATCAACTTTAACTTGTCAACCGGGGCAAACGCGTTAAATCGTCACTTGCATTTCCAATCTATTAGAAATAATCATTCTTTTGCTTATAAATCTTCGATATTTTAATTATAAATTATGTTTAGTAATATCGTTAAATGTTGTATTTATATTTGGAAGAATTTGGAGGAATTTATTTCACGAGAAATTTTACGAATATAGAAAATACCTGGTTAACGGATGATTCGGTTAACAAGTTAAGACACACGATTAATCCTTTCCATTTGCAATATCGCAAATTATCATAAATTAATTACTATACAACGAACGTGACGTTGACGCTGAAAGAAGATACGGAAAGGATTAATCTCATTCTCGCGTTACGAGTTGATCTTCACCTATCAATCGCTACGGAAATATTCGCAACTCACTTCCACGTTCGTGCACGCGAATCTGTTAGCGCGTAACATGGAACATTGAGTGTAGTCACTTATTTATAATAAGCTTAACGTCCAGTGCGAGATAGCTGTGCTGTCGTCCAGTCTTAAAAATTCGCGTCTATACGTCTTTTGCTGGTAATCTTAATAGGTTAACAACGATTTGGGCGGATTTCGTTCTAAATCATAGAAAACATTCGATCTACACATATATGCTTCGATAATGTCGTTTTACAGGTATCGAGAATGTTAACTTTATTAACCCTCTGAAACGTTGATTAATTTATTTATTTCTTAATCAATTATTTGTCCTTTATAACTAAAAAGCGTATACGTTTTACATGTTCACTGGGGTAATTATGATTAATCTACTTTTTACGTACACGTAGCCATTTAGAGTAGTTCCAGAAGGTCAAATAAACTTATTTTTTATTACATATTAAGTATGAAAAAAAAACAAGAATTATGAAAAATTATTTACCTGTGTTTATTTCCTATTTGGATGAATATTAATAAAATATATTCTAAAATACTAAAATATAGATTGTTCCGTCGAACCGTTTGAAACACGTTCTTTGAAACAGATGAAGTGAGAAACTTGATTTGTTTTATTTATCCTATATTATCTCGCTTCAAAGGGTCAATGAACAGAATAAATACGTTATTGTAGAGTTGATACTAAAGTACGACAAGTAATCAATCGACGTGTTTTAAAAACGCGTTTTACGATAAAAAATACTTCGGTGCTTAAACCGCGATGTTTCACCGCAAGTCTTTCTATTTCGACGTTCTATGAAATTTCAAAGAAAAACTTTCAAAGAATTTCTATTCGTCTTGCGTCTTTTTACATACAATAGAATTGAGCAGCTCGTAGCAAGAACGATCCTTGCCGAATTTTTTCAGTTCCATCGTGTTAATCACGGAAACACTCACGGCAATTTTCTAATATGATGAATATTTTATTAAAAAAAAAAAAAAAAAAAAATTGGAATATGTTGGACAAAAGTAGAAGATATAGAATATTCTTTCGCTTCTTTGGTAAAGGATAAATATGGACAAGGATCGTCTGTGTTACTTGGCCAATTTTTTTTCAACGAATATCGAGAAAAAGCTTGTGCCTTTCAAAGTCAAAGCTTCGATCGCGACATTTTAATGAATAACAATAATACTCTATATTAATAATAATTAATAATAATATTCTATCTATATGGTCGGTGGAAGAAATAAAGTCGAAATGAGTAACGTGTTCACCAAGAATAATTCATGAACGTGGGAAAGAAACCTTAAGATTAAACAAAGAATATTTACAATATGCGGCTAATCCAACGGCGATTAAACCTCGTTCGGCATCGACAACATCATCGAGTCTTGCGACAGTTCGTCCATCGATTGTTCCGAGCCTGAAGACAGAGTTGACGGTGTTGCGATAGAGAGTAGACCTTTTCAAAGCAAAACTTTGTTTCGTCCTTGGATATTGATAAACTCGCGTTATATTCTAATTGTTGAATTTAAGCAGATAATCTTCATCATCACGTTTAACCCATTGCATTTTGCCCCTTAATTTTATAGTTTGAGAGGAGAAATTAATGTTATTGCTATACTTCAAACGATAATTTAGTCCTAACGTCTCTATTCTTGGAACTTTCACTAAAAATCTAATGAAAAATCTTTTATTATTTTCTCAAGAATATGTCATACAACTCGATTAAAAAATATCGCATTTATCGATTTAATCGAATACTCTGTCTATACTGAAAGAAAAGCAATAGGTGCATGCAACAGATTTCCCACACATGCGAAAATCTCTGATATTCTTACCATGATTATGATAGAGGGATGGCGTTGGGCTTTTGCACGTAGCTGGACTCAGCTGCGGCGGTTGGGGGCCATGATGGTGTTGCTGTTGATGTTGAAACGAATAGGTCAGATGTAAATTGATGTGCCGACTGAAATCGCCTGTGGAAGCGGTAGAATTTGGTGGTGACTGATGAACTGTAACAGCAAACGATGTTTCCTTGATTCTAGGCTATGATAATTCTTACTACTTTTAATATGCTGAACCACATGCGTCATTATTTCAAGATCACCTATAGGTATTTAACATTAGACATTTGAAAAAACAGAACTTGTGGATCTGCTTTTCTACTTTACGTACACATATTTGCTTTTGAAAAGAAAAAATATTGCATTGAAATAATATTCGTATAACGAAATTTGTGAAACTATCGTGGAATTATAGAAAAAATATCTCAAAAATATTAACGTGAATCAATCGAAATGAGACATTCGACATATAACTTCGTCCTTTATCGAAATTTATTACTTGAAAGTTTCTAACGTTTATTCCCCCAAAATATCCAGAATCTTTAATACCTCTTGATCAAATAGTATCGAAATAAATGTAAAATAAGAACGTGGATATAATAAAGAAGCGGACAGAATAACAAAGAAAATAAAATAGAAATGTCGTCTCACTAGACAGCTGTAAATCGGACAGATATCGGTGAAAGAAACAAACGCAAGAAGTACCGTGTTGCCCTTTCATTTTGCCCGTGTGCAGATGCTTCTTCTGCCTTGCCCTAGAATTCTGGAACCAAACCTGCGTAACTCTTTTGCTGAGTCCGGTCACATGCGCTATCCTCTCCAGGTCTTGGCCGTCCGGATTGCTGTCCAGTTGAAAATTCGCTTGGAGAACAGAAAGCTGTTCCTCCGTGAACGTGGTTCTCACTCTCTTCGCCTTGTTACCGCTCTTGTGCCCGCTCTCCGAGTCACCGCCTTCTGCGAAAGTACCAATTAGAGGTGTTCCACCTTTCCTTACGCCACTAAATCTTTCTCTCCGAGTCTGTAGATTTCATTTTGTCACTTTTTTTATTCTAGC